ATAGATAGATAGATAGATAGATATGATGATCTGAATGTAATTTTTATTTGAAATTAATTATTTAAAATTATTTAGCACCTCCTGCACATCTGTGCAGCCCACACTGCAGGATAAACTTTCTGCTGCAGCTGATCAGCTGTTCTCTGTGCAGAGCGTAGTAGTGGGCGTGGTCAAGAGCGCTTGCAGTTGGCAAAGAACAGAGGAGGCAGGGAGCTGAAATCATGACATTGTGTGCTCCTTTAGAGCTTTTAGAGTTTAGAAACATTGTTTAGAATATTGCAAGAGTGTGGGAAGGATTTAAAACCTCTTTATATGTGTATATATATCTTATAGTTTAGTGCATGTATATATATATATACACACACACACACACACACATATATATATATATATATAAAACGCACAGAATGTCATGGTTTCAGCTCCCTGCCTCCACTGCTCTTTGCCAACTGCAAGCACTCTTGGCCACGCCCACTTCTCCGCTCTGCACAGAGATCAGCTGATCAGCTGCAGGAGGAACTTTATCCTTCAGTATTGGCTGCTCAAAGGAGCAGCAGGTGCTAAATCATTTAAAACAATAAATTTTAAATAAAAATTCCATGCCCATCGTGCGGCTCATCCATCAATCAGCCAGTTGTGTGTCATGTCCAATCTTGTTTTGAAAAACCGCGATAGAGCGAGTCCACGATAAACGAACTGTGAAGTAGCGAGGGACTATGTACTCTACTGTATTTTTCTAAAACCTAGAGCCAAACTATCTTTATGTATAAAACATTTAAGGACAATCCTTTAATGTGGAGGAGAATGATCGCTTTAAATAGGATTGTTTTTATAGTTAGTCACTTTTTGAGGATGCTTTTGATTTTACGAGTTACATTTTATACCAGATGAAGGATCAGCCTCAGCTCTGCAGAAACAACTTATCTTTCAGTTTTATGAACTATTCATAGAAATGTGATACAGCTTACAGTTCAATAATTTATCCACAGCCACCACTTTTGTTATTCAGTTTTAGTAAAGTCCAAGTGGCGCTCTGCGCTGGTGTGCATCTTTTTTCATGGCTCAGAAAGGTACAATGGGCAGAGCTGGCAGGAGTTCATATACTGGGTTTCAGAAACTCGACACCATCAATGCACTCTGCACCCGTTTGAGCTGCTCGTTAGCAGCCTCACCGCGGTACCAGCCCCCTGTTTCTAACACTCGGTGCAGGAAACATCCCATCAAGTGTACACGCATGTAGGCGTGTGTCCAAACGCACACGGCTACAAGTGTAGATGTCTGCGAGCAAATGCAGCTCAGCGTTAGTAAAAGTGTGTCTAAGTGGACGGAAACCTGACCGCTGTGATCTTGTCTCCCTCACAGCACCTCAGAGACCCGACCAATGGGGTGCCAGAGACCTCGCTGCAGCATCGTGGGCCCAAAGTGTACGGGGTTGTGCAGAGGACGGGCTCGGACAGGCAGCAGGAGCTGATGGCGCGAGAGTGGACGGTCAGCCACCTTCAGGACGAGATGAAGTACATCAGGGAGGTGAGCGGAAACAAAGAGCCGAGGCTCGACGCTCCGTGTCAGCGTCACACATAAACTGGAGGAAGCTGATGTTTATGAGTTGATAACATCTGGATGTTCTTGGTTTCTGTGCACAGGTGAGAGACTCGCTGGAAAAGGTGAGAGAACGGATGTACGGGCAGTTTGGAGGAATGCAGCAGTCGATGGAGAAGCTGTCACGAGAAATCCGGGTAATGAAACACACAAGTCTCTCTGCAGACTCACCTGCGGCGTAGGTGAATAAATCTGAGAGTGTGTGTGTCTGCAGGAGGCCAACTCCCACAGGATGAGTTTAGAGTCAGAGGTGAAGACCCGGACGGCAGCCATGGAGACGTTTGACCAAATGAACAGTTCTCTCATATCTGCAAACCTCAGCCTGCAGGTAGCAAATCACCAGGAGGAGATATGCAGGTAGATGGATTATGGATTATGGATTATGCTCGTTTGTGTTGCAGAAATCCCTTTTGGAAAACTGCCAGGACCGAGTGGACACGAGAGGCGAGGTGAAGAGTTTGAGGAGCACCTTTGAGAAAACTCAGGAAAAGCTCCGAGACAAGGAGCGTGCGCTCGCTGCGGCGCAGGCTGAAAACCAAACGCTGAAGCTTCAGGTAATCTGCCCACAGAAGCTGCACATCCAGGGAGCGTGTTGGCGCCAACATCTGGGCAGAGGTTTAGGAACAGCTGCTCAAAGAGGCAGCGGTCGAGCAGCTGGTGCTGCGGCTGCCAAACACATAAACTTCACACGTGCTCTTCAAATTTAAGACCCAACAATCCTCAAAGGAAAGGAGAATGTTTTGCACAATCACATGTATTGTGAACAACTCTCAGCTACTACCACGTCAAATTTTAGCTCGCCGTCTGTAAAAAGGACAGAATTTTAGCCACTGCTGTGTTAGCTAATGTCTATTAGCTGTGCTGATCATTTTGAACAGTGTTTCCTCCTGGAGTTAATCTGTTCTAAACACACAATTCATGATGAATTTCTGAAATTCTCATTAAAATCTGTCCAGTGGTTTAAGAGATATTTTGCTAACAGACAGACAGGGTTAACTAACAGTTAAGGTTTTGAGCAAGGTTTGGGTGCAATGAGTATATGGTTGGAATATATGCTGTGGATGACTCTCAGCTACTACCACTCTAGATTATAGCACAATATCTACAAAATTGAGTGAATTATAACCATTTTTGAGTTTTTAAGACCAGTTGGCTGTAGCAGCCATCTTAAATTGGGTTGGCTCCAAAAGCTAAACCGTTGTAGAGGTGCATTTATTGATGATTTCCTGAAAGTTATATGAAAATCTGTCCAGTAGTTCATGAGGTATTTTGCTAACAGACCGACATACATTCAGACAAACACGAGGTAAAATATGATCGCCCTTTCGACAGCGGGTGATAAATGTTCCCAGAAGCTCGGAGACCAGTTTGCTTTGACACAGCAGGTTTGTTAACGTATGGCCTCAGCACCGCGCGGGAACATCAGCTGCATGTGCACGTCAGCGTTGTCTGCTGAGGGTCAGCCTGAATGTGCTGCGCTGTGGATTGTCCAGGTGGAGTCGACGCGGGAGGCCAACACTCGGGCCATGAAAGAGCTCGCCGAGAAACTCCAGACGGAGCACGAGGAAGAGCTGCGAAAACAACAGCAGAAACACCGAGAAGAGATCGAACGCCTTCAGGTGTGGATTCTTTGAATCCTTTTCTCGTGACATTTACTGTTTTTACAACAGAGAGGAGAGAAGTTTGCATCCGGACTAGATGCTTCCATGTCATCGCATTCATTAGAACTGCACCGACTGTCAAATAACGAGACGAGATGTTTGATCCTAAATGTTCTCTCTCTCAGGCTCAGCTCGACGACTACATCCGGCGTCTGGAAGAGGCTGAGAGGACCATCAGGACCGCAGAGGCCCAGATTACAGAAAGAGACCAGCGGATCGTGGAAGTGGAGCGTCTCCTGGACTGTATGGGAACGGTAACGACGCTCGTTTTTCTAGTTTCTGCCTGATGCACGCCGTCATGTGCGCTCAGTTTCACTTCCTGTTGTGAAAAGATGAAAAAACGAGTGTCACATCCCTGTTGCGTTACGTTGCACAAAAAAAAGAGGAATTAAATACATCCTTTTCACCGCATCAACAAATGAGAAGACTAAAGAAAAATTTGGGCACACTAAATCAGGGTGTCCAAAGTGCGGCCCGGGGGCCATTTGTGGCCCTTGGAGTGATTTTGTGCGGCCCACACTTGCAGTTTAAGAACGGTGTAATTTTGGCTCGTAGGCTTCAGAGATCGATGCCGATGTAGACCTTTTGCAAATTTAATGGTGATAATTTTTAATATAATTTTTAGGTTTAAAAAACAGATGAAAAAACATCTCAAAATGAGCAGTAGTAAGTTTAATGCTTTGGCAATAAATCAGTAAAGTCAAATACATTAAATTAAAAAATAAATTAATAAAAAGTTATTGTTTAAGAAGCTTTTAATGTTTTGGATGACAACATTTTAGATCACCTTCTCAATTTTGTTCCTTCTCCAAAATATTGTTTACGTTTTTACGTTGTGTTGTTTTTATGCTGATTTTTTTTTTTTTTTAATCACTAAAATACGTATGCATTTTAAAAAATATATATATGTTTTTATTCACAATTTTGTGGCTCATGACTCCTTTCATCTTAAAAGTTTTGGCCCACACATGAAAATGTTTGGACACCCCTGTCCTAAATGGTTCAAATGTACCCATTTTATAATTAACGCTAAGACGTGAAATATTATTTGAACAGGAGAAGCTTCAGCTCCAAAAGAAGCTGCAGGAAAGTGAACAGCATCTTCGTTTATTGAAGCTCACGGACACGACGGACGCAGCCGCAGCCAAAAGGTGCAAATGAAAGCTTTGACCTGTGTGTAGACTTTAAATCACGTCGCTCGTTCTTCTGTAACGCACGGAGTCCAGATTGAACGCGCCTGTTTTTAAATCCTACAGTCGAGCTGGATTTCAGATTTTGTTTGCGAATCATTATCCGGTGAACGTCTCTAACTAAAATGTTGTTTTTAGGTCTAAAGAGCTGCAGAAGGAGACCGAGGAACTCAAAGAGAGAATCAGACACCTGAACGACATGGTGTTCTGCCAGCAGAGGAAAGTCAAAGGAATGATTGAGGAGGTGAGGATGTTTGTTTGCTTGTCATCATTATTATCATTGTACTGAAATATAGTGAGATTATGTTCAGTCGTCTGAAAGATGGGCAGAGCGCACGTTGCTGCTGCTTCATGAGCGCGGCCCCTTATTCTTTATCAGAATACCTTTTTAGATAGAAAAAGGTAAAAGGCCACGAAGATGGATAGTGGTGTTACAAATAAGATCTCTTCACTTCCTGTCCTGTCAGGACATGATTTAAGACATAAAAAACTACCAGCAGCTCATTTATAAACACGTTACATGCATTTGACGTCCAGACGGTGAGATTTGTCCATGAAGCACTTCCAGGTAGTCCATAGTCCTGATAAGATGTTGTTCAGCCGGCACAGTTCTGAGTAGGGGTCGAATAGACTAATCGACTAGTCGAGCCTGTGTCACACCGCGAGTTTTTATATTTCACATCGACTAGTCACACCCCCCTCTGTTCCCAAACATATTCCACCCAATCCACGTGGTGGGTTAAATAAAATAAAACTACAAACAGCAGCATTTTTGCAGCTTGATAATAGTTTTACTTTTCCTTTTACTTATTTGCAGTATGATAAATGGTAGGAGCATTAATATATGCCCGATGTTTTGTTGTTCTTTTTTTTCAAATATGATATAGCGCATTGAGCTCCTATGATGTCATCAATTAGTCGAAGTCGACTAGACTTTTTATCACGTTAAAGTCAACTTTTAAAAATATATAGTTGTTTAACCCCTAGTTCAGATAAGCCTGCACAGAAGTTCTCGGGGGAGGGGGTGCGATACATGAAGTTTTTTCCTTAGTTTACCCGTGTCCCAGGAGAAATTTGATAGTCGGCCCCATCCGAGGCCAAACGGAGGAGTCAGATTCAGATACGCCACAATTGTTGATTTTCTTCAGGCAGACTGTTTTTTCTTGTCAGCCTTGAGCCCTGCTGGTACTTTCCAGATCCAAAATGGCCAGATGTTTGGGCATTCCACTGATTCGTGCTATGAGCTTCATTCAACATGCTAGCGAGTCCTAGAAGCCGCAGGAGGCCTGCGATTCTCCCAAATTACTTCCATCTTACGGTTTAGCTCGTGAATCAGCTGATTTTGAGTACTCGAAGCACGAACCAAACCTTCACAAGGCAGGCAGCCTGACCAGGTCCAAATTTGTTGCTGACGACTTCTTTGTTTGTTGATAAACCAGGAACCAGCCAAATCCAAAAAGCAGGAAACCAGTTATCTTAAATCTAATTGTATATGCGTCCTTATGTCTTCGGCGTCCTCCTGAGACAGGACAGAAAGACACATCACCCCCCCCCCCCACGGGTCCATGACGTATCCTGCAGCGTGAGTCTCAGCGGGACATGAGGGCTCTCCAGGACCCTGTCGTTTTGTTGAAAATATTTTGTCGATTGCGTTAGAAGTCCATCTCAACAGATCCATAATAGTATTTTTTATTTGGAAGATGTGTACCAGGAGCTCCAAGACACAGACTGAGAGCAAAAAGCAGGAGGAAGAGGAGAACAGGGGAGGGAGAGGAGAAGGCGTCCGCCTTGAGCGAGTGCAGAACTAGAACAGAAATAGCTGTGGGAACGTGAGATGCACATGCAGTGCACACTGTAATTGGTTCACAATACACATTATTATTATTTTTTAATATTTAAGACTCTTGAAATAAATAAAAATTTGCCTTCTCTTCGTCCAACAAGTGTTTTTGAAAGCACGCCTTCTGAATCTGTGCAGGTTGAGTCTCTGCGGTCTCAAGTCGCCCAAAAGGACATGTTCATCTCAGAGCTTTTAGACAGGATTGCGATCGTGGAGTGTGAGGTAAGAACACGTTTGGTGACCGAGTGAATTTGATCACCAAGTGGTGTGGAGCTCCTCTGCATGGCTACAGACAGTTTGGTGACCTGCAGGATATCCTGACCTTTCATCAGTGTCGGCGTGGTTTCCCCTTGCGTCGCTGTCAAACTGCTTTTTCATGCAAAGTGGCTGCTGTCCTTTGCATGTAGCTGACCTGACAGATATGTTTCCTGTTTCCCTTTTTCCTAGAATAATGAGTTAGAAGACAAAGTGAAGTATTTTATGTCCACACAGAACAGGCCGAGAGAGGTTTCGGAAACCAGGGACGTTGGCGTAGGCTGCGATCTGCTCCCCAGGTAGGAGTCTGCACGTGTTGAAGCGTCCAGCTTCGTTTGATGCTTCGTTTGATGCTTCGTTTGATGCTTCGTTTGATGCTTCGTTTGATGCTTCGTTTGATGCTTCGTTTGATGCTTCGTTTGGAGTTGGTTTCTAACTCTGGTGTCTGACTGCAGCCGAGAAGATCAAAGCCATGATGTAGTACCTGTTCACCTTCATTCCATACACCTTCCACCACCCTCTGACCCTCCTCTGTCACCACCTCAGCCTTCATCACCCACCACCTCTTCCTCCCACACACAGTGGTCTTCATCCAACACCACCTTTTCTCCTACATCATCTCCGCCCCCGTCATTCCCAACCAATCATCCATCGTTTAAACTAACATTGCCCATCCAGCCAAGGACGTTCAGGCCTACTAACCCTCCCCCCAGCAGACTGGAGTCCAGTTTACTGAAGTACACGCCTGTTCAGTACAGCCGCCTCCTGGAGTCCGGCTCCTCATCTCAGAACGCTTTGTCCTCCTACAGCCACCGGCCCGAGGACCAACCGGTCCAGACCGGAAGAGACGAAGTGGACGCAGGTAGACCATCGAGTCAACCGGAGTCCACTTCATCCACGTCCTCGTCTCAGCCAACGCCAGGGCGGCGACGAGTTTATACACCTTTCATGAAACTCATGGAAATGACTGCTCAGATAAACATAGAGTGACGTCAACGTTTTAGAGTTTGGGCCGATAATGTTCGGATCGAGACCCGAGTTTTACTCCTGGACGGCAACTATGAAAAGAAACCCATTACACTGGAACTGAGTTGGATCATCTCGTTTAAAGAAATGTGTTTAGTTATTTTATTTTACACACAATGTTCAGTTTTTACTTTCCAACTTAGTTTGACTTCAATTTGAACATGAGAATTTAGAGTTGACTGTTAAAACTTTAAATCCTTCAAGTTGGGAAGAAACCGACAGGAAGACGTTTCAAGTTGCTCCAACGTTCAACGCGCACAGCTCCAACTCTTATTGGGATTTATTTTGTAATAAAATCATAGAAGTTTTGTCAATTTAATCAGTTTTAAACAAGATTATCTTAGTTAAAATAATTTAACCAGTGTGTTTAAATGACTTTAGATGAATTATTTCATTTGTTGTTCTTTATTTTCGTTGAAAATTATTACCATGTTGAAGAAGAAGAACATTTTACAGGTTGTAGATTTTTTTTAATTGTCTTTATTTGTCATTGCTAATTATTTTAATTATAAATCACCTTTTAAACTGTGGGACTTCAGTACTTTTAGGTCATTTTTTTGTGTGATAATAAAACATATTGTTCTCAGAAGGTTCTACATCTTGTTTTTTTTTTAATTATGTTTTTATTTTATTTTAACAGCAGTTTTACCTGCGATGGTCATGAAGCTGTAAACATAAAGTCTTACAGAAAGACTGGTATGATTATTGTTTTGTATTTGCTCTGTACAAAAATTAAATGGATACAATGTAAAATAATATATTTTCCTATTTTGACACTATGTAAATAATATTTATTAACATTCTTTGTATCTTTGTGAACATCCTGTGATACTGGTGGTGGCAATAAATATGTGAATAGGCAACTGGGTGATAGGTTATTGTGAATAAAGTTGATTTGATTGCTAATGACAGCAATTGTTCACTGTTGCTGAGAGTTTTGTTGATGATGAAGTGACTTCTGCTCCTCACCTTTGAACACTGTCCTGCATGGATCATTGCAGAGCAGAAAAATGTGAACCCTTTATAATTTTCTATATTTCTGCATAAATATGACCTAAAACATCATCAGATGTTCACACAAGTCCTAAAAGTAGATAAAGAGAACCCATTTAAACAAATGAGACATAAATATTATACTTGTTCATTTATTTATTGAGGAAAATGATCAAATATTACATATTTATAAGTGGTAAAAGTATGTGAAACTCTAAGAGGGGTGGGGTGTCACAACAGATACTGAAAGCAAAGGTTCACACTTTTACAACTCACAAATATGTAATATTGGATCATTTCCCTCAATTAATAAATGACCACGTATAATATTTTGTCTCATTTGTTTGACTGGGTTCTCTTTACTTTTAAGATTTGTGAAAATCTGATGATGTTTCAGATCATATTTATGCAGAAATATAGACAATTCTAACACAAACTTTCAAGCACCACTATAAATGCACACATTTGTTTCCCTTTGTGACATAAGCTAAACACTGAAAATCCACCAACGTAGCATAAATAATTGGGTTTTCTCTTATGAATTTAACCAGGTTTTACAATAAAGGTTAGTAACTGTTAAATAAAATCACATTTATTTTACTGGACAAAGGTTTTTATTTGTCTAAATATGTAAATATATTCTCACTGATTAAGTAGCATTACACTGAAATATTAAAGAAAAGACTAAATGTGATTGGAGTCATGTTGTTTTTAATGTTCAACGTTTTCAAAGAAAAGCTTCTGATCATTTCAGCTAAAAACGATGAAACAAAACAGACGTTTGATCGAAGTAGAACCTGAACGAAATCCATGAAACCCTTCAGATGTCGGGCGGTGCCCTGACAGGAACACATTGAGATCAACATGTTTAGATGTGCAGCAGGATCTGGGCTCTCAATGGGCTCTAACAGCGTAAAGATGCATTATAAATTAAAGAAGCCATGTTGTAAAGAAAACAAAATGTCATAATCTTGATTTCAATTTTGCATCAGCATAAAAAAAAGATTAAAACAGACTTTGAACTTTGACACAAGCGAAAAGGAAGCAGCTGTTGCTTCTCGGTTAAACTGCGGCTATAAATGGTTCAGATCCATGGAGGGAAAACATCCGGACAGGAAATGCAGCTGTGGAAAATCTGAGACAGTGAAGCTTGAAAGGTTCAAGCTGACCACACCGGTCGCACAACAAACAAAGGAGAATGCAAGAAACTCCGGAAACTCAAGCTGAGAACATTTAGTGCCGTAAAAAAAAAAAGCAATGACAAAATTTATGAGGACAAATAAAACAATAAATGTGCTAAAAGACTGTTTGAGTCATAACACAAGTTAAATCACTGCAGTTACAACCTCCAACAGATGTGCATCAAGACTGGACACTTTGCTCAAACCACTGCCTCAGTAATTAAAAATATTACTGATTTATTTTCTTTAATGCCGAGAGCATTAAACTTTCTCAAGCTAAAAGACAGGGCCAGGAAACCACAAGAATCTCAGTCTGATGGAAAAATTAAAGTGGGAATTAAATAAAATACACAAGACTCCACCCTGAAAATCAAGTTTTTCATTTGTACTTTTGGAATATGTTAAATTTAAACCTGTGCGCTGAAGGATATTGTTTTTACAGAGTATGCACCAACGAATTTAAGCTAAGAAAACAAAGAAGACGGTTTAAAAAAGCCACTTTTGTTTCTTCTTATCTTCATTTAAAGCTGCATCACTTTCTTTTCATGATTTTTTTTTATATTAACTATAAAGTAATCCAATTATTAATGCAACTAACTTGATGTTAGAAAACAAACTGAATGTTTAGCTGTTAAATGAAGAAAATTTTATGCCACATTTGTAACTTTATTTATTTTTTATAAAATACATAATAAACAGATTAAGTATGCCTTTGACAAATATAAATTTTTTTGTTTTTTGTTTGTCTCATCACTGGAACATCATAGACAAAATTATAAAATCTTTTCCAGGGCTTTCTGAAGTCCAGATCCTGGACTAAAGTTTAAAAGGACTGTGTGCTGCTTTTTTTTTAGTAGCAGTGACTAAATCTGAACAACAGGGGGCAGCAAAACTATAAAAAGCAGCCTGTTGCAGTAACGCATACTGCCCGCTGGGGGGAGTATGGCGCCAAATTTAAAGTCTAACTTCCGCACATGAAGAAGAAGAATTCATTTTTTTTTTAAATGTGTCGTGTGGACCGGAAGAAAAACTTAAAGCGGTTCCTTAACGTGTTTACGAATAAAACATTTGATCGATTAGTGATGTTTTAAGTCGGATAAGTTTTAACGTTGAATTTTAAGCTCGCGAATGGCCGTGGAGGTCCGTGTCTGACAGGGATGTCCTCGTCGTGGACAGATCGGCAGGGACAGGTTGGAGACCTGAGAAACCAGAGCAAAGAGGAGCTCCAGGAGCTGCTGCTCCGACAGGAAAAGATCCTCTCCAACAAGTAAGATCAAGTAAACATCAGTTTATGGTCTGGTAAATGTCCTGCCATGAGCTACGTTAACATGAGTGAAGTCCACATTTAATGAATCCACATGAAATGAAAGGGTTTACACTGTTTAAGTCAACCTTTATTATTTTCTGCTATGCTGTAACGTTGGTATAAGACAAAAGAACCGTGGGAACATTATATTTAACACTTGTTTAGATCGATTTATAGTGTCGATCACAAACTTCAATGGGATGATTGTTTTAGATTATACATTAAGAGGTTTGTGTCTTTTGCAGGAGGCTGTTGCAGACTCTTCCTGACAAAGGGAACAAGATAAAAGACTTTGTGGGAAAAGTTCGTCTTGCCATTGAACAGCGGCGTGAAGAGGAGCGGAGGCAGAGCTCGGTGTCTGCTACCAGAAGTGAGTTACAGTCCAAATATCAACGAGCGTTCCAGCACCGTGCCGTCTCCGACACGTCAGCAGATTCGCATCAAAACGAGCAGCGTGATGAGGCTGGGGACGAGGCAATGCAGGACAGGGAGGCCTCACCTGTCTCAGTGCTTGCGCAGGAAGACGCCGCTCTGGACACGCGGCAGGACAGGTGTGTCCCCGGCGCAGCTGATGCTGAGACCATGGATACGGCTGCAGCTGGGGTCCCTCTGAGTGCCGAGGAGACAAAAGATGAACTTTCGGAAGCCTTGGAAAGAGTCGCGCTATCTGAAGCTGGCGTTGGTGAATCCAAAGATCAAACAGATAACGAGGCTAAAGATAATTACTTTCTTCAAAAGCAGACACCAAAAAAGCCCCACTATGTATCTGTTCTGGAAAAAACTGAAACATCCACCGCTCCCAGGAGGCAAAAATTCAAACCCAATCAGTGAGTCGTCTTTGTGACTTTTTTTTAATAACTTTGTGTAGCTCTTAGTCCTAACAAGTTAATAACATCTTAACTGTGTCTTCAGACTGCCCCACAGAAGTGATGCCTCTCCATCAAGATCTGTGTCACCTGCTCAGTCCTCTGGAGCTGCATCACCTGTTTCTGCTCAGGCCAGGAGGGAGCAGGACAGGAAACACCTGGATGATGTCACCGCTGCCAGACTCCCTCCTCTCCACCACAGTCCAGCACAACTTCTGTCTCTGGAAGAGTCGGCTGTCCTCGTGAGAGAACAAACGAAGAAGCACGAGGTCAGTGCAGCCAGATGTCGACCCTGCGTCCTCGGTGCTCTAACCTGGCACCAGGATTCTTCGTTGTCTTTAGTTTTCAGGCACAAGTTCATGAACCTCAACTGTAAAGGAGGTCTTTGTTCAGACTCAAGAAATTATTCAATATTATGTGTGAAAACTGTTATGAAGTGTATATTTTAGGACATATTTTGAGTTATCAAGGCCAAAGTCAAAGTTTCTTTATTTGTCATACACACCACATGCGGTACATGTGATGGAACAAAATTCTGTACACAGGGTCCCAGTTACATCCAACACAAGTATAAATTGTAAAGAAAAACAGTAAAAAATATATACTAAACTAAGAATACACTAAGCACTAGTAGTACAAAAACAGTACTCCAAACAACAGCAGCACGAACATGAGTGTGAGCAGATGAGCACGAATGAACACAGCAACATGAAATAAATCAGCATGAGATCAGCAGCACATATCAATAATCAAGTGGCATTACAGCGATGATCCTGGTTAGAGATTCATGAGTCTAACAGCCTCAGGGTAGAAGCTGTTCCTCAGTCTAGTGGTTCTACACTT